ATTTTTTTTCATCAAATTTGGGGAGGTTTTCATCATTTTTTCTTTAAATTTTTTTTTCTGTTTTGTTCTCTCTCTCCTCTCCTTCTGGGACTCTCATTTTGCATAAGTCAGTACACTTGATGGTGTCCCACAGGTTTCTGAGTTTTTAAATTTTTCTTCAATCTTTTTATTTTCCTATTCTTTTAACTAGATAATTGCCATCAACCTTTCTTTAGTTCTCTGATTCTTACTTCTATTAGTTCATATCTGCTATGATCACCTCTAAATTTTTCATTTCAGTTATTGTACTTTTTAACTCCAGAATTTCTATTTGGTTCTTTTTCATAATTTCTATCTCTCTTTGAGATTCTCTATTTGATGAAACATCATTCTCATACTTTCCTTTAATTCTTTAGGCACAATTCTCTTTAGTTCTTTGAACATGTTCATAATAGCTGATTTTAATAATAAAGCCAACATCTGGGCCTCCTTACGGACAGTTTCTGTTAACTGTTTTATGACTGTGTATAGATCTTATTTTCCTGTTTCTATGTATGTCTCATGTTTTTTTGTTGAAAACTCGACATTTTAAACTATATAACATGGCAGCTATGAAAATAAGATTCTCTCCCCTCTTTAGGGTGTGTAGTTGCTGCTGTTTGTTGTTGTTGCTGTGTGCTTAGTGAATTTCCTGGACTAATTCTGTAATGCCCATACTCTTGGTTGTGTGTGGCAATTAAAGTCTCTGCTAAGTTAGTTTAGTGGTCATCTAATGACTGGACAGAGACTTCCTTAAATGCCTTGATTCCATAGGTCTCCCAGCCTTTGCAGAAGAGCTCAGTGTGTTTTGGGACATCCTTTCAAGGTCTAGCAGACAGCTTAAAACTCTACCCCAGCCTTCATTTTCTGCTTATTCAGAACCTCAAAGTCAGCCAAAGTGAGAGATTATGATATTTTCAGGTCTTTCCTGAGCATATGCACATGTATGTGGCTTTCTATATTCAGAATATGTCAGAGCTTCTCAAGCGCCTTACGGACATCTCACTTTCTGGTTTTTCTTTTTAAGTTTTTGGCCAGCCTCTTGTTGCCATCACCTCAGGCAGCTATACTGTTAAACTCCACTACCCCCCAATCTACACACACACACACACACACACACACACACACACACACACACACGTTTCTATACCTCCCACTGCCATTTCCTCAATAAAGTTTTTCACAATTTTTTATTAAACCAATATTTAATTATACATCAGAATTTCTTAGTGAGAGCAATATTGACATTTTAGTGTGATAGTTCTTCAGTTTAAAGGACATTTAACATCCCTGGTCTCTGGCCACAAAGTGCCAGTAGTGGGAACCAAAAACATGCACACATATTTCTAAATACCCTCTTGAGCTTAGGGGTCAGTATCACTTTTGTTAAGAACCTTTACTTCACAGTATTGTGACTATATAATTACATTTACTCTGAGACACATATGTATTCAGTTATTTCATTTTCTTTCTTGTTCAACTTCCTTTTCCCCCTAGTTACTAACTGCCTCCGTTATTTGCTTAGTTTCCAAGTATCTATCACCAATTACTTGCTAAGTTCTCCAAGTATACATAAAGTTTTCCTCAATAGCATCAAACATATCAGATGTTAGAGCTTATTTCTACTTTAATGGAGACATCCCTTCTATCTTCTTGCTCCAGTTGGAGTTGTTTATCCAGGAATCCTGCAGGGCAGTCATTGTAGAGATCCCGTCATTCTGGTAATTTCACTAAAATATTGTAAATTGGCAGATAGTTTACCTCTGTTGCCTGATGAAGTGGGAAATCAGAACAAAGTTCAGGATAATTTGGAGAATAAAGAAGTTATATTTTCTCTGACTGTCTTAGGGCAGAATGAATAAATGTGTGGTATTGTTTCATACATAAGTACAATAAGTAATTTTTAATGCGCCTCTATATTTATCATACAATTTGATTCTTATTTTAACTTTTACTCACATTTCACATTTGAGGTGCACTGCCTGGCATCCATTTTCCTCCTGAAATAATACATACAGTAACGGTATTAAGTGTTCACTATTTTGTGAATACTGTTCAAGGGCCCTAAGAAAAACAGTAAAGAAGAAATAAGAGACAGCCTTTTAGTCCAAGAACTTGAAATCCACCAGTGCTGGAAACAAGTGGTATGTGTGTGAATGGGCAGGAGTTTGATTTGACTTGTAGCTTCTTACTGTGTCCATCTCTGGGCTGAAGACCTGCATCTGGACACTTGGCAAGACCTACCCAACAGTTCACTGACAGAGGCTGAGGAGCCTCCTGGGACTGAACTCATCCTAAGGAAAAATGGGGCCAGTTCCAACTTGAACCACGTAAATCTTACATGTCAGAGGTCAGTAGGAATTCTGGGAATAGCAAGACACTCTCTGTAGACTCCCAGAAATGTCTGAGGGATTTCTGGGTAACTGGAATCAGGGGAAAGTAAGAACCAGTGGAATGTAGGCTGTTACCCCTGATGTGTCCCCATCTTTATATACAAGACAATGAGGCCTGGGATACTTAGGTTATAAGTTGGAAATTCCCTCTGACAGTCACACAAACACTGAAGGACAGTGTACATTGTCTTCTCTATTTCACATAAACTTGGTGAAGAGGAGAGGGTAGTTGTGTGAGTGAAAGAGCACTGTGCTAGGTGGGGGCTGGGCTGGGGAGAAGACAGAGAGGAGGGAGGCTCTGCTGTTGGGTGTCTGTCCAGAGATGGATATCAGTCATGTGGAACTCAGAGGACAGCAATACAGGCTAGGGGTAGGTAGGTAGGGCACAGGTGTGCAATGGGGATCCTTTCTACTCAGATGATTTGGGGAAGGTTTCATCAAGGAAGTAGGACTCTAGTAAGGGGAAATGGGGATTCCTGGCACAGAAAATGCTGGAGCTGAGCCCAGGGCCTGGAGGCTGCAGAGTGTACGGGAAGCACTGACAGCAACCAGCTGGCTTCTGTCCCACTGCCTCTTCTCCCTCTGCCAACTCTCCAGCCACTACTGCCAGGTAATGGTCTGATCCATCATGACCCTACGCAGGGACCTCCCTGGGCTGCTGTCCAGCACCTCCAGCAGATATAACCCAGCGCTCCATCTTGCTGGTTGAAGCCTTCCCTGGTCAGGCCATCTGTCTTTCTCTACTCTCCTGGGCATGGCTGTCCCTGAGCAAGCCCTTTGCATGACCTCTGCCCAGGATGGCCCCCTACCAAATACCTCCCCACTGTCAAGCATTACCCATTCTGCAAAAACCACCTCCCCAGGAAGCCTCCTATAACTCTTGCACCTTCTGCCTTGTCCAAAGATGTGCTTGGACAAATTTATTGATCTCTCTGAGGTTCTAGTTTACCATATACGTGGTAATAGTAGTTTGTGTCAACTGCTATGGGAATGTGAGTGATGGAGAAGGTGATATCAGAACTCAGATAGCATGGAATTTGTGGGCTTTCCATATTTTAACATAAAATTAAGTTTTGTTATTATAGAAGTAACAAAACGAGATGGAAAATGGAGAGAGAAAAAAATCCCCTATAATAACTTCACCCAGCCAGGTCATCTACTGTGAGTATTTTTGGAGACTTTGTTGCCCTCATTGTTACATAGGCAGATATTATTGCTCATGCCTGTTAGAGGTTTTCTTCTTCTTAATATACCATACAATCCATTCATTTAAAGTGTATCATTCAACAGTTTTTAGTATATTGACAGATCTGTGCAACCATTGCATTTAGAATATTTTTATCACCTTGAAAAAAAATCCTCTACCTTTTAACAGCCACCTCCACGTTTTATTTTTTATTTTTGCTTAACATTATTTTACAAGCATCTTTTCCTGTTGCCTGACAGTCTTCGTAATTACCTTGTCTGGTGACTGCTAGAAAAGGATTTTGGGTGGGGGAATGGCACCACCAGGTGTGCTCTACAATGATGATGTTGGTGAGGATTAGGGAACCTGGATGGAACAGTGAGTGGAGACCCAGGGAGAGATGAGGGAGGCGTGATGGCAGCAAGGAGGGACTGACCTAGAGTATGACTTCCCAGTGGAGAAAAGGAAAACTCTGGAAGCAGAATCCAAAGCACTACTGTTTGGGTTATCAGGAAGGATGGAGAAGGGTGTCAGCAGCCTTCCTGCATGGGTGAGGGTGGGAAGGGGTGGGTGGGAAGGTCAATAACTGAGTCCCAAAAGAGGAGAGGGCACAGATTTGGAGGAAGGTTGAAGATGAGCTTGATTTTGGACTTGCTGGATTTGGGGGTCTTGGGCTTCCCTGGCAGAGTTCAACAGTTTGCAGTGGGGTGCTCAGGTCTGGTACTGCAGGAGAGAGGTTTTGGAGTTAAGGGTGTAAGGGCCAAGTGTGAGACCTTGGAAGCCTGAGCTTATCCAGGGTGGCCCTGAAGGATAAAGAGAGGGCCTGAAGAACACTGGCACTTTAGGGAGAGTAGGAGAATGAAGGATGTGGAGCAGGTCACCAGGTAGGAGAGAGCAGAGCTGCAGCCTCCTGAGCAGTGGCGGGAAAGGAAGAGAAGATGCGAGGCTGGGGAGGCTGGCGAGCGAGTGCAGGGGTGGCGTGGTGCAGAGTTGCAGCATCGCACAGCCATCCTAGCCAGAGTGCTGCAACACGAAGGGACAGGTCGTATAGGAATGTGTGGCCCAAGGTGGCCTGCGACAGCTCGGGACACACCCACCGAGTTGGAGATTCAGGGAAAGTAGGGGAACTGGACTTTATCAGATGTGATCACCACAGGACTCCTCGAGGCCCCACGCCCGCGCTCCGAGATGCAGAAACTGGGGTGGCCCTGCGCTGGTTTTGGGCAAGGGGCGGTCTCTGCTGGGAGTCTAAGACGGACTGGCAGAACGGCCAATGGGCATCGCCTCCTCTCCGCGGTCCCGCCCCCTGGGTGCCGGCTCAGAGCATGCGAGCCTGGAGGGTCAGAAGCTGCTAGAGGACGCGCGGTCCGGGCGTTTGGGCCATGCCCGGCGGGGCCCACGCGGCTGCCCGGCTCTCTGTGCGGCCCGGGTAGGCGAGGCCACCGGCCATGCCGCTGGAGGCGCAGGACGCGCTGTACGTGGCGCTGGAGCTGGCCATCGCCACGCTGTCAGTGGCGGGCAATTTGCTGGTGTGCGCCGCGGTGGGCACATCGAGCACGCTGCAGACGCCCACCAACTACTTCCTGGTGTCCCTGGCAGCGGCAGATGTTGCCGTGGGTCTGTTCGCTATCCCCTTTGCTATCACCATCAGCCTGGGCTTCTGCACTGACTTCCACAGCTGCCTCTTCCTCGCCTGCTTCGTGCTCGTGCTCACGCAGAGTTCCATCTTCAGCCTCTTGGCGGTGGCCATCGACAGGTACCTGGCTATCCGCGTTCCACTCAGGTGAGGCGCGCCGCGGCCCTGAGCCCCATCGGAGCCCCGCCAAGGACCCCCGCTCCAGGGCCAAGTTCCTGCCCCCAGGCTGAGGCGCGCGGGGCGCTCTGAGCTCCGGTTCCCAGCCTGAAAGACACCGGCCATCCCCAGAAACGCGAGCATCTGGGCTGCCCAGACCCTCTGGGTGACCCGGGCGAGTCCCTAGAGGCCTCTGCTCCCGGGAATGCGCACGCCTCTTTAAGGGCACCTGCGTAGGGACAACTCTAGGGGTCCCGGGGAGTGTGGTCCGCGGGAGCCTGGCCTGCCGCGAGCGGGTGGAGGCCGGGGAGCGGATGGTTGGCTGATTGCATCTCTTCCTCTGCGGCGAGAACTGTTTCCTCACGCCCCTCACCCGCGGCCGACTGGCGGCCAGACGCGGCCCTGTGAGTGAGTGCTGGGGGTCCGGCAACCGGGGGGAGGTTCCAGGGCAACTTTGGACAATGGGACTTCGCGTTGTCAGAATGGATACTACTCACGACCCAACTTCAGAATGTACCTAGCACAAAATTGGGGCCAGGCCGCCCTGGGCGGAGAAGTGACAGTTAACTTTGGGGAATGCTATGGACATGTGTCCCTGCATTCTTACTGGTGACTCATATCTCCTCCATATACTTTTAAAAAGAGGTAAAATGCTCCTCTTTTTGCCAAGAGCCTTAGGGCCTCATGCAGTTGGGTAACCTTGTTTATCCCCGCTGCTCTGTCCCTGCAGGCTGAGAGAGCGCCATCAGGATTTTAGAAAACTGGAGAACTTACTCATCTTCTCTCTCTCCCACTCTGAGAAAATGTGGGATTCAGGGGATGGAGCCAGCCAGCAAGGGAAGTGGAGCCCCAATTGTAGCGATCAACGAATTCAGAGTTGAGCACTTTAGAGCAGGAGTGTTAGGGCTTAGTGACAGCATTTATGCTCTGCTTTGGCATTTCTGGGTTGGGTGAGCTTGGGATCTCTTTGGGTTTGGGGCTGAGACAGGAAATGGAGTCACAGGAGTAGGAGGGAAGGAAAGGAATTAATTTATTGAGTGACAACTGTGTGAAGCAGTTTATATCAAATTTATATTCTTTAATCCTTGCAGTAATTCCAGAGGGTAGGTACTATTACCTGCGTCTTATAGATGAAGGGATGGTGGCTCAGGGAGATTAGAGTCTTGCTCAGGATGGTGCATCTGGAATGAGTGTCGGAGCCGGGACTTGAACTCAGAGCTGGCACCATATTCCCACTGTGCCTTCAGGCTGTCTTGCAGGGGCTGTGTGTGGTATCAGTGTTTGGGATGTGGGCAGAAAGCAAACTGCCATTTCTAGACGTGGATCCTGCCTGCAGTAAATTGATGGTTGGAAGGGAAATGTGTCTGAAAGAATTGACTGGGAGAATGCTCCCAGAAGCCTTTTTAGCAGGCCGACACATTGAGCCTGGTCGCTATGGGTTGTGTTCTGGATGCCAATCTGAACAGGAACCTCCTGCTTGGCCGGGCTGTGAGCCTGATCTGCCTGTCTGGGCCTTTTCCATGTGCTGCTGCCTTTGGCATCTGACCAGCAGGCCTCATGCATGCCATCGGGTGTGAGAACCCTGGGATTTCCAAGGTTTAGGGCGGCATGGCACACTCTTCTCTCTTGTGATCCCTTTCCTGCCTCTTGGTCCTCATGTTGCTTACTTGATGGCCTTTGGACTGTTTGCATCCAGCAGGCAGTCTCAAGTCCCTACCCTGAGTTGCCCATATAACAGAAGCCCCTTGGGCTTGCCTCTGGCAATGGTCCAAAGAGACCCCAGCTCAGTGGGAGTTACTAGAAGAATCCCTTGCGCTCCTTGGAGCAGGAAGTTCCATTAAAAGTTTAAATCTGTTAGTTCTTGTCCTGGTTTGTGCTGGGTGGAGTCTTGAAAGAAATGGGTGTGGGTGTGTTAAGGGGAAAGAAATGTGAATCACAGGCCTCTAACTTCTCTTTTGCATCTGCTAAGAGCAGGAGAGGAGAGGTAGGGGTAGGGAGGGCAGAGCGCTCAGTGGAGAGTCACCATGAAGCTCATCCCATCCCTGCCCTCCTGGCCTACCCACGTGAGTTTAGAGGTCTGGAAGAGGTGTGTACAAGCAGCCCAACTCCCTGTCCCAGGAAGGTATGGGCCTCTGATCTGTCCCCACCCTCATGGTTAGAAGAGATGTACCGGTTCAGGGATCCTGAGCCCTCCTGGGGGCTGGTTCCAGTGAGCAGGCTAAAACGCAGATTATAGGTGTGTCCGTGTCCCCTCCCCCCACTTAGCCCCCAACCCTGGGCCCTACTGAATTAGAATCTCTGGGGTGGGGGTGGGGGTGTGTGATTCCAGTATCAGTATCTTTAAGTGGGGACTTCTTGTCCCACCAGAGTCTGGAAACCTTCCTGGAGTCAGGAAGACTTGAGGCCCCCCTTCACTGCATTGACATGGGCCAGGGGCCAGCTCTGACTTGGCTCTGAAGCCTCCCTTGAGGTCATGGAACTCCAGGTGGGAGTAAAGTTGGAAGTGCCCTGTTTGGGAGGAGGTGTCTTCCCCTATAAAGGCAGTCAGTGATGAAGATGAGGTCCAGGGAATGGGGGCAAATACAATCCTTGGACTTGTCCTAGGTTCCACCCAGTTCACTGGTGTGGTAGGTTTGGAGGGAATTTGGGTCCCAAGGCTCTGAGTGCAAGTCCTGTGGGGTCAGCTCTGATCACAGCTCAGGGCCACAGAGAACGCAGGCATTTACTAACCTGGGGAAGATTACAGTGCAGGAGGAAAGGGGAGCCCCGAGGGGATTCTAGGGACAAAAATGACAACTTTGGCCCGAATTGAAAAGGAGTAGTGTCTGCTCACATCAGGCTTTCAGAGTGAGGTGTACCTATAAACAAAAGAAAGTCCACCTCCTCTAGTTCAAGTCCACACAGTTCCTGATGTTCCTGGCAGAGGGTCCAGTCTCAGTGGTGTCACTGGGAGTGGGCAAGAGGGAGAGCGTGCAGGTACACACAGCAGAGCCAGATAGGCATTCCTGTCGGAGCTGGGGGATGTGTGCCCGTGGACCCCGTGTGTCTGTTCAGGCTGCTCCCTGACTCTCACTTCACCCTCACTTCTGACAGGAGCACTTTCTCCTCGCTAATCTTACCCTGTCCCCTTCTTGCCACTGCCCCAGCTGAGATGGGATGGGGAGGGTGACTGTGATTCACCTCTGTCTCGGGGCCTTCCTTACCCTACTCTGGACTGTTTCCCTGCACTGTGGTGTTGAGTGTCCAGTAGGCTGAGGCCAGCTGTTTCCCAGTGGGCTAAGGAGGGTGTTTTCCAGGGAGTGTTTGGCTGGCTGCATCCATCAACCGAATGAAAGGGGAGTGTTTGTCTGACCTGTCCATGGACTCTGAGCCTGTCACCCTCTCTTCCCCCTTTGTCACTTTTTCTGAGCCTCACATGTCTGGTCTGTGAATAGGGATTGAAGACTTCTTAGCAAGACTTGGTGCCTTGCGTAAACATGTGACCTCCTACCTCCTTTTAGCTGAGGAACAGTAGGGTGGGAGTTGGCAGGGCATTTGGGGTGTTTTTTCAAAAGTATTTTTTTTAATTGAGCTACATTTCCCATATGATAAAATTCACCTTTAATGTTGTGTTGAAATAAAACTGGGAAGGAAAATTTTGAACTCTGGGTCCTACCCCTCCAGCTTTTCCAAGGACTCCCTTCCTTGGGTTCTCCCTTCTCCACATGAGTATTTGTTTTTCTCTTCCAGATCATTCCTATTGTAGTGGGTTCAATGGTGGACCGCCCCCACCCTGCGCAAAAGATAGCGGTGTTCTAATCCCCAGAACCTGTGAATATTACCTTACATGGGAAAGGAATGACTACTTCCTTATATGGATGCTGAGAGGAGGAGCTTATCCTGGATTACCTGGTGGCCCCTAAATGCAGTCACATCCTTACAAAGTAGACGGGCAGAGAGAAGGAGGATGTGGTGTGAAGATGGAGGCAGAGACGAGCGCTGCGGCCACAGTCAAGGATGCTGGGCAGCCGCCAGAAGCAAGGACTGGATGCTCTCCTGCCAGCACCTTGATTTCAGGCTGCTGGCCTCTAGAACTGTGAGAGAATATTTTAAGCCACCAAGTTTGTGGCACTTTGTTACCGTGGCCCCAGGAAACCACCATTAATACATGAAAATGCTTAAGTCAACTCTCCATGAACTACACACCCTCTCCACTTACTGGTTTAACCTTTCTTTCCCCTCACAGTAAGCTTTTCCAACAGGTCATCCAGTTTCACTGCCTCTACTTTCGTTGTCACCACGGTGTCCCTGAATTGTTACTGTCAGGTCACTGTTGCACTGCTCCCTTTTTGGTAGAATCTAATGGTTGCTTCTTGGATGTTGTTGCACGTGTCCTCGTAGCAGCTCTCAGCCAGCTCTTGCGCGGCCACCATGGGCCACCTCATCTCTTCCTACTCCCCTATAACCATTCTCCACACAGCTGCCTGAGAGAATCATTTGAAACATGTGAGCTTACATCATTTCCCGGAGTAAAGCTGTGCAGTGATACCTAGAGTAAAATCTGAATGTCCTACCCTGGCCTCAAGGCCCTGCATGATCTGGCTTCTGTCCATCCATCTTGCGCCCCTTCCTACCTTACTTACCAAAGCCCAGCCATGCTGGTTCAAGTTCTTTCCCCAGCCACAGTCTCTGTACTGCCTTTCCTCACTTTCCCCCATCTGAATAGGCTTTTCTCAGCTACCACATTTATTTACCACTGACTCTATTGTTAAATTGTGTCTTTACTAGGTTATGGTCTCTTCCGGCCTGGAGCATGAGGTGAGGGTCTACCTCCGTGAGGGGAGAGGCTTGGGCTCATGTACCCAGGACCCAGTACTTGGCATGATGTCTTGCATGGAGTAGGGACCCACATTTTGGATAAATACATGAGTGACTAGGTGAAGAGTGTGTATTATGGAGGGAAGCTGGGGCAGTGTGGAAGGAATTATGCAAAAAATGACGTGGGGAGGGAG